ATTCAGGGGAGACATCTTCAGTTATCACTTTTGGACAATATTTTTTTCATTCTGACTAGTGTTGGAAATTGTAGTACTGATGCCATATTATATTATTTTCCTGGTGGGAATTAATTTCCAGGGCGTTGCATTTCCTCCTCTCCCTATAACCGAACATTCTTATGCTCATTTGTAATGTAAGTGAAACGGGATTAGTGACTTAAGTTCACTACCTCAGAGTTCAGTAAAAACTAAGTCTGTATATACACGATTATCTATGGACAATTTCTTAAGCTTTTGGGAAACATTTTTTCCAAAAATAATAATAGGAGCAACAATGAAAAATAATTTAATTATTAGCTTTATCTGAATTCTGAATCTCACTTTACAATTCTCATTAATTTACAATATATAGTTTTCATTATGTGTTTGTTCTAAAAAAAACATTAAAATGTAAGTAGTAGTTAACGTGAACAACAAGACGGTAACTCTTTTTCTCAAAATAACAAAAAAAGATAATTTTTTGGAGAATCAAACTTCTTTTTTTTTATTTATTTACTTTTCTGACATACTACTCCAAGACCTTATCCCTTAAAGCATACATCCCCTAAAGGAAAATTCCTATAAATACTAGGATATACAGATGTGGTCAAGCTCGTACATCTCAATTTCATCCAAATTACTGGTGTGCTGGAGTTACAAAAGTTTCTCGCTAGAAAAAAGGGGTATAAACAATTCATTTAAAGTTTGAAGTTTTTATCTTGAAAAAACATCTTAATATTAAGATGCAAACTATGCGATTTTTATTGAAACGCCCTTTTTTGGATATAAAGGACTACAAATGTGAAATACACAAGTAATAACCTAAATAGTAAATATAAAGGACGAATGAATGTTACTTTACTTTTAATGGATTCCGTTGAAACAAATCTTAAAAACACATGAAAAGCAATTTAGGAAATGGAAGAATATATTTGTTTGTATTATGCGAAATAAGGGTTTGGGACTAATAACTTTACGAAAACTTTCTTCTGTGCTATGAATTTCTCTTCACAGGGCCTGGGTCTAGTCAGGTCTGGGCGATTTAAGTGTAATAACAATAAATTTTAAAATACAAATTGATTTAAACTTTTCGAATTTTCATCACACCGAAATGTACAGACGTATGAAAGTAATATTTTCATTAACTATTATTACAAGCGTCAATTGCGGTTCTTTCAATCACATTTCATTAACATCAATCAAAGAATTGATAATCAAATGTAGAATTTTTTGAAAAAGTTCAATGAATATTTTAGGTGGATTACTCCGGTGCTGGGTGTTGTTCAAACAAAGGCTCGAGTAATAACTTCATTAGTAGTTGGAGATTTCTTCAATTAAATTATTGCGACAATAGCATGAATACAAATTAAATTACGTATCTCCATGTATTTGGAACGGCATACTACAAAGTTCATTTAATACCAGCAGTGACATAAAATGTATTTCTCCAAAGAACAAAAGGAGTCCATGAAAGAGAAAAGTCAAATGGAACAATTTTTTTAAACCGTTCTAATTTAATTTTAAATTTAATTTACGAGAATTCAGCGCATTCGGAACTAAAGAATTTTATTTTAGAGTCCTTGTATTTCATAACAGAGAACCACAGTAGAGTAATTTTTCACGCCACAATTTTCTCAGATATTTCTCAGAGCAGGATGCGACTTTTAGATCAGATTCATTATTATTCGAAATACCGAACAGAAATATAAGAACTTCAGCGTTAGCGGATATACAGCCATTGAAATAAGAAACTTTTCCAACATTTAAGGACTTCGACGCCCGATGGAATTTCATAATGATCACCGACAGAGCTGAGCGTGAGTTGATATTTTAATATCTGCGACGGTCTCGTCCTCGTTAAGAGACAAATAAATCGGCTGTCAAGAACTTCTGGGGACGTGTCACGGTCCAGACTGAATGTATTGTGCAATGCCAGTGGAAACAAGATGGTGTAGAATACACTTTTTTTTAAGTAAACAACAGGAGCTTTCTCTAACTGAAATTTTATTTGAAAACAATTTGCTGTAACACAAAGTGCTCTCAATTCACTTACTGGAGCTTCCGCTGCGTCTCTCGGCATATAAAACGCGAAAACAAACATCAGCCATCCACCGGCCTCCAGTGCCCACGCGGGAGTAGCGTCTCTTGTTTGAACTCAGCAGCCGCAGCCGCGGCCGCGCTTCCTCGTCCTGCGGTCCCCGGGGCCCAACGCCCCCCTCGACTTCCCGCCCCCCCCCGCGCCGTGCACAAAGACCAAATAAAGGAGGCTGCGGCGACGTTCGCCGTGGATCTTCGCCATGCCCTCCCCCGCGCGCCCGCCCCTTCCTTCGGCGCTTGCTTCTTTTGCGTCGGCGGAGGAGAACAACCGGCGCGCAAATTGATTTGTGGGGAGAGAGGGCCTCGTTAATCGCGTTCCCGCGGGCTGGCAATCTCGGCCGCGCGCTTAATCCCGCGCCGCGCGCGCCCCGCACGGCCCCCGCCCGCCCCGCCGCCCCCGCCCGACGATGGCGACGCGACGGCGGGCGCGGCCGCGCCCCGGGCCCCGCCGCGTTCCTCTCACGAGGCGAGGCTCCGGTTCCACCCCTCGATCGGCGCGGGCACGGCACGGGCACGGGCACGCGCGCCTTCCGGCCGCCTCCGCGGCTGGGAGCGTCGCCGACCGAGTCCACCGGCCTACCCGGCGCTACTGACGATGGCCAGCTGGCTGCTGCGGGATCTTCTTTTTTCTGTAATTGGTATCTGTTCAAGTGTCTAGTTTGCTGTACAAAAGTGTGTTGTATGATTGTTGTAGGATATTAAAGAAACTTTACTACTGACAATCTGTTTTTGATGAACCGGGCTCCCCCTGCCCGCAACCCCTTCCCTCCCTTTTCCCCAAACTTCCCTTCGCAAGGCAATTCATAAAGACGTGGTAGCTGTTGTCCCTGTTGTGCTTTGGCGGGACAAGAAGGGGGGAAAGTTTGGAGATCTGTTGGAGCGCCACGTTGGAAGTTGGCGCGCCGGCGTCGATGTGAGGCGGCGACCGCCGCCGCGAGGCCGCCGACGCGACGCGCCGGGTTACGCGTCCACGGGCGACGCGACGCGACGTCGACGGCGAGGCGCGTGGGGCGGCGCCGCGCCTTGGCGGGATCGAGCGGCCACGCGGCGTGCGACCGCCCGCCCACGCGAGCGGCGCGTGTGCAGGTGCGGACGTGCGTGGGCCGTCGGCGGGTCGAAGAGGTGAAGTGACCTCTTAATAAATGACCACGAAAATGGAGCCAAATTGAAGAGCTTGTTACTGAAAGGAGCATTACTCCATTTCGCGATGTTTTCTCGTTGCACGATAAAGTGGTGCGCTACAGGTGAATTTAGTAGATCGTGTTCCTTGATGCGGTAGTTTTCGTGTTTTCTCCGCTCAACATCAGGTGAATGCCGGAGGCAGATCCCTATAAACGTGCCAAACGGAACTTGCCAACATCATTTCTTGTTCTTACCTCTTCCTTGTCCTTAAATCAACCATGTTACACACACACTTACACGGACTACAATTACCAACATGCCGGGGATGTCGGAGACTTAAGAGCTTCCCCGAATGGGGTGACCGACAACCTGGTAAGAAATGCCTGGTGTGAAAACCTCGCTGCCAACGGTACGTCGGCGGCCGGATCTCGCCATACTTCGGAAAGACCCTCAGCCAAACCTCAGTAAAAAAATGCCCTCTTGTGTTTCCAAAATTTCCGCCCAAATCCCAAATATTACGTTAGCAATACGTTGTCCAAAAGGTGTTTGAATCTATCTTGAAATATAAGGCTGGTAATAAATAAAATAATAACTTTCCTTCCCGGAAAAAAATTGCATAATGGAGATACGTATCTCGGAAATAGGTTCTTCAGTTTGTAATGAAATGATCAAAAATTAACTGTTTTTTTAATGCTCAGGCGACATCTTTTTCTTTATACTATTCTGTAAAGACGTGGCTTAGCATTGTGGTAAGAGTGCTCTGCATCGTCCTGTCCTTCGTGCGCAAATAAAACTTCACGCAGCACAATCAAAAATGCCTGAGAGCGCTCCATGCCCACAAAGCAGCTCATCTAAATCTGAAATGTATTATCCCTGTTCCAAGAATTTTTTCTGTGATATTTGTGTTAACTCGACGATATACCTGACATCTCAATTTGGTTATGATTACAGTAAATGCATTTTTTAGGTGTTGTAACATTGCATTTCAAGGTATTAGACAAAAGAAGAATCAAAAGAAAGCATGGTGTAATGTTCTTTCGTCGAGAGAGCGCACCTGGCGTGGCGCTGCTGCCGAGTGCGGGGCGGGCTTTGTGTGAATGGACGGGGAGCGGAGCGGGGGTGCG